TCATCTCTTCCATGTACTCCACCACCTGTATTGTCATGATCACCGTCAGCTTCAAGTTGACAATGATGACAGGCCTCCTGAAATGCCTCGCGCTGCCACCATCAGAAATATGACAGTGCAATCCTTTGATCATGAAACCAGGCATACTCCTTCAGAACTAAATGATAATGCACTAATTGCAGTAAGTAGTTTAGACAGATAATAATTTTAGCTCTCTTTTGTCAGACCTATTGCATAGTCAAATACTTCATGGCACAAATCAAAATAAAATGGAGAAATGAATACTCATTCTGTAATTCCTTACAAACCTACCATACCAACAAGAATCTATTAGCTTCCATCACATCACTGGAGCTGAGCCAAGAATGTACAGATCATAATTGTTGGACTCAATTCAGACACGATTATGGACTAAACAACCAAAAAATAGGTTAAGCTTGATGTGCTACGAAATAAACGACAATTTTTTTTTTTGCAAGGTCGTACTAAAACATTGGACATGAGGGATAGGAGCAGACACAGCACTGCAGCAGGTCAATGTTGAACATTGCACATTCAGGGGTGGCGTCAATGGACTGGAGCAGACACAGCAGCGTTGATTGCCTCAGCTGGCAGGGGGGTTGGTGGCTAGAACAGGTGGATGTGCCCTTCTTGTTGTCCTTGGCCTGAGAGATGCACACCCACGCGACCATCACCACTCAATCAGCACATGACACCACCACGGAATCAAGATCCAGGGAGATTGAAAATGGTAACGTCACCATGCTAAAACAACAACAATTGAAAATAGAGATTATTTAACTGAATAATGAGTGATGAGGACAGATAGGCGAGATTGTAAACAGAAAAAATAATTATTCCAATACATGGGTTATGCTTTTAGAATTAGACTGATGAATCAAAATACTCAGGCTCGAAGTTGATACCCTTTTTTTACCAAAGCATTCTAATTACTTTTTGCACATACGAAGTTCCTGTGTTCTTTACGTGTTATAAAATCCATGCGCAATGGTCTCAGATTTGCAAGGACATGTCACACCATGTGAGGTCTGAATGATCATTTCAACTTGTCATTTTTCTTGCAGAGCCTTGTCTATTTGATTTATGGCAACACAGCCTTACGTTCTTTGTGCTTTGACTTCAGAAGCACCATGGTCCATGGGAATTACTACGAGGGATTTTATCAAACTCCAGTTAGTACTTTGGCAGTGAAGCATAACTTGCTTGTTACTGGTGGGTTTCATACGGTTGCATAGCTATTTCCAGAAACTTTCTACAATGACTAACACTAACAATGCATTCATTATTTCCTTTCAAAATTTTGGGATGTAACTTACAGTAAAACAGCATCACAGATCGGTGGAAAGTGCAGTTATGTTACAGGAACTTCTAGACCTCTTCTAGCTTAAGCATAGACTACAAGAATTAAGGAGCAAGGAACAGTACCACAATCATCTCCAGTATTCCTATTTGAATGACACCTAATAAAAGGAACTGATTTTGAAGCAAAACTTATAGAGTTGATAGGGTTTCAGGGCACACACCTTGATTGCTGATCTAAAGCTTTGTGACGCGACCACGGCTGCCGTGCCGAAGATGGAGGAGCTCGCCGCCTTGGAGTCCCTGGCGCCAAGTTGAACGAGGTGGAGACGAGGAGCACCGGATCCGCCGCTGCCTGGGGGCGCGCCGTTGCCTGGGAACCGCGCCGCTGCCTTGGTGCCACCGTCGGCTTGGGGCCGAGGGCACAGCGACCGCCTCGATGAGTGAGGGCGAGAGTAGGACGGCCGCTGCGATGAGCGAGGAAGAGGGCAGGGCCACCGGCGACGGAGGCGACTACCACGGGCCTCGCGCTGGGGGTGGGGGTGGCGGCGGGGCAGGGCCGCCGGCACGACGCCGTGCGAGGGCAGCTAGGGTGAGGTGCGTGCGGGATTGGGGAGTTCGGCGTGGGGTGGGGTGGGGTGGGGGAGTACGGCGAGGCCGTGCGGGATTGGAGTCTAGGGGGGGTGCCCTTGGACGAATAAAATCAACAAAAATAGCTATTTTAGGTAGGCATCAGGAAGTGTCAGCAAACGTTAGGAAGCATTTCCAACCACTATAAAAGGGCTCAATAAAGATATAGGAAACAAGAAAACACAGGGAAGTGAAAACCAAACACTCACCTACCAAGAGCCTCCTTCTCAAATGTATCTCTAGTTCAAAATAAGATCTCTTAATTTAAATGACAAATATAAATTTGAAAAAAGTGAACACTCACCTAGAAAGACCCCCCTTCTCGAATGTATTTCAAATAAGAAGATCTCTTAATTTAAAATGACAAATATAAATTTGAAAAAACGTAAATGGTAATGAGTAGTCGGTTTAATTGCAAACTAAAATTCTCCGTCCCGAGTTTTGGTTATAACTTACTTTTAATTAAACTGATTTACTGTGGTGTCATGACCAATTATGTTTTATGCTCAAATTAGTTATGTATTTTATGCTCAAATTAGTTATGCTGGAAAATTGCTCAGAAATAAACACCAGGAAGAACAAATATTCAGTTGTAGCTCTGGTACTGCTACTCCAGTGTTTGAGAGGAACTAGTCGTTCATGGACTATCATCCCTACTGCTATTGCCGGAGTACGAGTAGTTGTTCTCTCCCCTGTGGGCCCCACTCCCTTGCAGTCACATCTCTACCGTTGTGCTGACAGTGCTATCGTTCGCTATTCCCAAGAGGAGAATGAGAAATCAGTGTTCAACAATTTGTAGAGGCCTAGCTAGTGTGAAAATAGATATTTTTTAGATTTCAAAATTCAGTTGAATTTTGTGGCCAAATGAAATTAATGGATACATGCCAAGGAGAACTAAGCGTATCTTATGATCCAGGTAGCTAATTAATAATTAAATAGTTGGATGTAGTTGTTTTACAACTTTCCTGTCCTTGGTTTAAGATTTTCATATAACCTATTTTTAAGTTCGGCATGGCTAACGTCCGGACGTCCAGATGCTAGCCCCCGTCTGGACGCCCCTGTCTGCTCCGCATGTTGCTAAGCCTTACCGCATGCTGTGCCTGCCCCCGCCTGCCTCGTATACGGCTGCAATTGCTGCGCCCGCCAGCCCGCCCCTGTGCGTACGCATGCAGCTGCGCGCCATGCCTGCTCCTGGGGACCACCCATGCCCGTGTCCCGGCATGATGCTGCGCGCTTCGCTTTGCTCCCGTATTGCGCACGTGCCCGTGCATGCAGGTGGGGACCACCCACGCCCGTGCCCCTGCATGCTACTGCACGCTTCGCTTGGCTTTCGTGTTGTGTGCCCGTGCTTGTGCATGCAGGTGGGGACCACCCACTCCCGCTTCGCTTTGTGACATCAGTATTGTAGTTGCCACAGCCATCATTTTAAACAGTCTACTAGTTATTACATTAATTTACACCTACATATATAATTTACTCTTATATATATGTATTATTTATGGTTGCAATTTCTTGGGTTTTCTCCCATTTGCTATTTTTGGGAGATAGGGAATGGCAGCCCTTGAGGGCCCCCTCCCCTGGAATTCAGCTCAGCCCGCGAAAAGCCCTCTTCCTCCTTGCTCTCTCCACCACCTGCTCCTCACGTTCGTTTGCCATTCCGTCGCCATTCCCTTCCCCGGAGGATTCATCGCACACCATCTAGCGCATTGACCGATCGATGCTGCCGTGGTCCATCTTTCCGCGGCAGGCGGCGCCCGGGGGCGACTCGGAGCCGGAGGCAGAGGCGGACCCGTCCGAGCCGTCGGGGAGGCAGCTGTCGGACGAGGCCCTGGTCGAGGACCTCCTTGCCGCCGTCGCCTCCGCACGGTCGTTCCACGAGTTCCGCCGCTCACAGCGCAAGGAGTCCTTCGGCCTCCAGCGCTGGCTCCAGCTCGTGCTCCCACTCATCCAGGAGATCCATGAGATCGGCCCATCCCTGACCGATGACGCCTACCGCCGCCTCGCCCTCCTCGGCCGCGCATTCCACGCTGCTCGCCGCCTCCTCCGCTGCTGCCACGACGGCAGCAAGATCTTCCTGGTAATAAGACTGCAGCACCGTTCCCTTCTTGGCGGCCTCTGAAATAAAACTTCTGCTATTTCAATACTCCAGTTTATGGCCCGTTTGAAAGATTAGATTATTTTTTAGTGTGTAAAAAAGGTTAGATTTTTAATCCTAATTTGTTTGTGTGGGTCCTATTGGTCCAAATTCCATTTTAGGTCTGCACTGCACTGCCTAAAAGTACCATCTTTACTGTTACCTCGTGTCTGTCAGTCTGTGCCATGTGCAGACCAAAATATTGCATTTTGATTGATGATCTTGTCCCAAAATTTCAGGCTTTGGAGAGTGAGGCTGTGCTCGGGCGGTTCAGGGCCGTGTATGAGAAGATGAATCTTGCATTGGATGGGATGCCTTACTCTGAGATTGGCATTTCTGATGAAGTCAAGGAACAGGTAAATATTTGCCAACATTTTGGTAAAATGAAATGGTCCATCGTGTTCTCTTATCTGATGCAAACAACCACTGCTTTGGTGGTTTCAGGTTGAGCTCATCAATGCACAATTGAAGAGATGCAAGAAGAGAAGTGATACTCAGGACATGGAGCTCTCCATGGATTTTATGATGATACTCCAGAACAAGGAGGATGGAAATGCAGATAGAGCTATATTGGAAAGGCTAGCCAAGAAGCTCGAGCTGCAAAGCCTAGCGGATTTGAGAGCAGAGACTATGGCCATTAAAAAGCTTATCAACGAGAGGAATGGCCAGCAACCGGAAAGCACCAAGCACATAATAGAACTCCTCAACAAGTTCAAGGAGATTGCAGGCATTGACGAAAAGAACATCCTTGGGGATGTCTCCATACCAAAATATCTGGAGAAATGCCCATCTTTGATGATCCCAAATGAATTCCTCTGTCCAATATCACTGGAGATCATGACTGACCCTGTCATCATTGCGAGCGGGAGGGTATGCTTTGTGCTATGACATTCATGTTCCCTGATTGCAAAGCGAGATTTATTGTCTCATAGTCCATATTTCACCTGATTTGCAGACTTATGAGAGAAGAAGTATCCAGAAGTGGTTAGATGCTGGCCAACGGACATGCCCAAAGACGCAACAACCATTAGCTCATCTATCACTGGCACCGAACTTTGCGGTGAAAAACTTGATCTTGCAGTGGTGTGAAAAGAATAAAGTTGAGATTCAGATGGGAGAATCTGAGGCTGTAGCTGAACATGAAGATCGCAAAGAAGACATTCCAAAACTGGTGAAAGATCTGTCATCTGTTCATCTTGATGTGCAGCGGAAGGCTGCCAAGAAGATTCGGACACTTTCCAAAGAAAACCCAGAAAATAGAGCACTGGTCATTGAGAATGGTGGGCTCCCTGCACTTATTAGCTTGGTGTCCTATCCCGATAGGAAGATTCAGGAGAACACTGTGACTGCATTGTTGAACTTATCGATCGATGAGACCAGTAAAGTTCTGATAGCAAAAGGAGGAGCATTACCTTTGATCATTGAAGTCCTTAGGAATGGCAGCGTTGAAGGTCAGGAGAACTCAGCAGCGACATTGTTTAGTTTGTCTATGGTAGATGAGAACAAGGCGGCTATCGGGGTTTTGGGTGGTATAGCCCCTTTGGTGGCCCTCTTAAGGGACGGGACAATAAGAGGCAAGAAAGATGCTGCTACAGCACTCTTTAATCTGATACTGAACCATCCGAACAAATTCAGGGCTATTGAAGCAGGAATCGTGGCTGCTTTGCTGAAAATACTCGGAGACAAGAAACTGGACATGATAGACGAAGCACTGTCCATTTTTCTCCTCCTGGCATCGCATCCTGGTTGTCGAAGTGAAGTGGGGACAACGTCTTTTGTTGAGATACTTGTTCAGATCACAAAGGAAGGGACTCCCAAGAACAAGGAGTGTGCACTTTCTGTTCTCCTCGAGCTAGGTCTACATAACAACTCCCTTATGGTGCACGCACTTGGATTGGGTCTGCAGGAACATCTATCTGATATTGCAAAGACAGGTACAAGTAGAGCGCAGAGGAAAGCCAACTCTTTGATTCAGCTTTCTCGCAAGTGCTCATAAGAGAGTAAATGAAAACAAAACATCCTGATGATTTTGTACAAAGATACATGTAAACCGAGTTACTGAAAAAAAACGAAGAGGGGGGGGGGGAGGTTGCAAAAGAGCATTGGTGTAGTGATGTCTATTATAAGATCATGAGAGGAAGATGGTATTAAGGAAGCAACAGTTCCTTTTTTCGAATACACAGGAGAGAGCTAGGCATCATTTGAATTAAGATTGAAGAAAATGGTCTGAATACAACGTTTCCAAGGTAAACCCTTGGATCAAGTGAAAAAAGAAGAAAGGAGAGCAAGGGAGGCAAGGGAGGGAGTTACAAAATCAATTGGTGTGCCACAGAGCAAAAATAAACAACTGTCTCTAAGCAACTAAAACTAAATCTGCCACAAGGCACTCAGACTCTTTGCTCCCGCCATGAAGCAACAGTAGTATTGTAACTTTGAATTAGTAGACATGTCTATTCATCCACAACAGGCTTGAAAGAAACATGAGGTAATTCATTTCTTGCATGCAGAATTTTGTTGAATTCTTATATGGTAAATGTATAGAAGCTTTAATGGATAGAAAGGGTACATAATATATTGGGTACATTGAAGGTATCATGTCTCAGTGATCACAAATTTTGCAAGTTCTGACCCAGACAATGTTGTTCAGTTTCTTGATGCAACTCGAAGTTTCATGCTTTGAATTTTTTCTATTCAATCTTGAAAATAGCATACTAGCAAAGACACACATCAAATTCCTACCATAGAAAAAAAATATAATCTTACCCACATTTAAACATTATGCATTTCTGTATGAGACATCGCTTAGCTGAACCAAAAATGCATCAGGATGGATGTTCCAACTCCAACAGCTAATCATTCTCCTTAACGCTAAGGATCCATCTTTAAAAGCCTAGGGGATTACCGCTAGTGGAGCCCATGAGCATTTCTTGATTCAGTTTAATTAGATCTATTGATGTACAATTCTGAATTTGTTCCAAAAAAAGTACAGTTCTGAATGATCATCTGAACCTGACAACGGCCGGTGGGCAGGGGTTTGTTACTTGCCTCCGTCCCAATAGGACCATGCAGCAAGAGCAGCAGCGCCGCTGTCAAGGTGTGGCTCCCGTAGTGCCCTGACGTTCCAGTCGTTCTCTCTGATCCGTGTCTTTCTCATCTTTTGGATGGCTAATCTGGCCCTTTTGCGCACATGCATATTGGGCTATGCGTTTCAGAGAACTCAATATCCACTTACCCAAAAAGAATAATGAGCAAAAACGACCAGAGTTTTGGCTAACAACCGATGAAACCCAAGAAATTTCAGCTGTTACATAGCCATCCTAGACGACAATTTAAATCATAGTGAGGAAACTATAGGGTGTGTTCGTTTTGAGAAATGTGATAGCCCATCATCTTCTTGCCCATCACTTTTGTTTGATTTTGGAGTTTGTGGATTAGGATGGGCTGATTCTTCACCACTTATCCCTCGTAAGCTAATAATTGGGTACATGCACGAGGAATGAGTGATTCCATCAAAATTTTAAGGTTAAAGTCACAATACACCACACCTCTCATCAACTACACATGTCTAAACCAAGCAGTGCCAATCTTTGCTTGTAACTTTCTTATGTGGTTTTATTGGTTAGCGTGTGTTTTAATTTGTATGAGCAAATTTAAAGTCTCTGGGGATTTGTTGGTTTTATGCTATGTTGTGTATACATACATGCATGTATGTACAATATAGCCTGCAGAAGCTTGTCTCAATCTATATATTCCAAACCAGCAGAGCTCGAAACAGTGGTGGCTTGTACAAAAAGTATATATAAAACAAATAGGAACATGTATATGAAATTTCAAGCCAAAGGCATAAATGAACTTTGTTAACCTTAAATTTTTGCATCAATAACAAGGAGGAAGACAATTTATTTAATTCTACGGAAATCATATATATATGAATCTATTCAATAGCATATATGTACTATAATATGCTACTGCATATATATGGAACAAGATCTAGCCATACGCTCAATAAGATCAGTATGCAAAACGCCGAGGAAGTATTAAAAAAATAGTCAAGGACCATATTCTTGGTTTAGACTAATGGTTGTTTGATCTCCTTGTACTTTTTCGCCTAGCCTTGCCTAGCTAGGAAATGAAAAGCCATTGCTGTTTGTTGGTAGGATAACTTGCCTTGGAGCTTGTGCTAGCAAGAAAATTCCCTGCTGCCATCGGAGAGCCAATCCGGCTCGCTCCAACCAGAGCAAGCAAGGCAAGCACATTTTTTTTTTAAACGGCTCATGATAATGTCAATCTCAATACCTAGTATATGTATGGAGTAATCATTCATAGGATCTAGAACCTTTTTTTTACATGACGAATGAACACCGCTATAAGACCACGAAAGGAAAGAAATAAACAATAAATATGCATTATTCTGCTCATGGGTCTATAACCAATCTCTTTATTTATCTAGTAGCAAGTATCGAAAATAAAAAAACCCAACTCTATGTAAAAGATTGCACATTGGACAAACACATTCGATATATAGTAATGAAAGTTCTTCGTGAGACACACAACAATAAATAACAATGAAACCCACAAAAAACCACTTTATAATCAGCTGCCACAATGATAACCGACAAAATGCCACTTTATAATCAGCTGCAAGTGATAGCCGATAAAACGCCACTTTATAAGTACTATGTCAATGATAATTGAGAAAATGCCACTTTATAATCAGCTGCCATTGACAGCTAAACGCTTTATAATCAGCTGCCACTGACAGCCAACAAAAAACCGCTTTATAATCAGCTGCCACTGATAGCTGATAAAAAACACTTTTATAATTAGCTGCCACCGATAGTCGACAAAATACCGATTTATAATCATTGCTAGTGAGATCGCATCGATTGGGAGCTAAGGAATCCAATAAAACTGTGCTTTGTAGTCAGTTGACGATGATATTGCACGGGGAGCAATCATAAAATGTGTGCCACGGTGCACATTGACAATAGCCTTGGAGGTGCTCGTGCACTTTATTTTGGAGAGTTGGACAAGTTTTAAGAAGGCTATATCAAGTTTTTTTCCTCGTAACAGTTCCTTGATGTGCATCAAATATTTGTGCAACTCCTACATATATAGCAAGGATTAATAAGATATTAAAGCACAAACATGTATACTTTTGTTTGTAATGGTGTAGTATAACTTGTTGGTTACAATTTTTAGAATATATATGTAATTCTGGGTATACGTAATATAGTGAACTAGGATAATAATGTATATAGTACCCCATGGTTCCAAATTGTAAGTCATTTTGGTTTTTCTAGATACATACGTAATTTTTACTACACATGATGAGATCAAGTAAGGCTTCTCGCATGGTTCCTTCCACTTCTTCTACATCAAATCAAGCCAACTCAAGGGGTAGAAAAACAATTTATATCTATATCTATATCTACCTATCTATCTATCTTGAAGCTTAAGCTTGCGTGTACGTAGTTGACTGCATGTCCCTTGCAGATCACTTAGGTTGCCCGATCGAATGAAACAAAAGGTTAATTAGCTCCAGACCGAGAGAGAAATAAATAAATAATTACTAAAGCCAAAAGATCGAGTAGTGTAGTCCAAGCCTAGCTAAAGGCATTTTTCCTAGCCATTCTTTTTGGCACCGGCTTTCAGTGCGCACGTAGTAGCAAAGGTCACTCAAATGCACACGTACATCAGCCCTCTATACGTGTGTATGTAGCATGCGTGTATATATAGAGAACTTATTACACACATAATCATTTTCTATTATGCATCGTCGCTTGTTTAGTTCTAGTGATGAGGAAATAAATAATATATAAATACTTTCCGTGACCAGTGACCACAAACTATAGCAACAAAAAAGTGTGACATCACGCACATGCAGAAGCTTGTTAACGTTACTCTATCCCTAAGCTTTCTGAGGAAGACCGAAAACTCCACACCCTGCTGCTTTCTCATGAAAGGGCTGCTGGGGAACCGGCGGTTTCGTATGAAAACAAGGGTTCAGTTGCACCGCTTTTGCCTGATGATAACACCACTTTATTATATATTTGGACGGTGCACACTACCATTAAAAGCTTGCTATGCCTGCGAAACATGAAATTAGTGAAGATGATATCCAGAACTTGTTTGGAATCTAGTCGTCGCTGTTTTAGATGGTCAGTCAAGTTCAGGTTGAGAGAAAGTCGAGCTTTTGTTAAATTTCTCTACATTTGTAAAACTGGAAACCCCAGTGACCGGACCTTGGGTGTTCGATACCCTTTCTAATAAAGCTGGGTGAATACCTTTGTCTAAAAAAATTGTTTGGAATCAATATAATGTATCATGCATATCCAAGGACCCTTTTGTTTTAGCTTTGGGATTCATTCATCATATCGTCGCCCAAATTAATATATAACTAGGGTAAAAACCATTGGATTTCTTCCAATAATACAATACATACATGGAGATGACTAGCAAGGACGGGAGTGGAAAATTAACTAATTTCTCTTCCAATAATCCCTCCCAATACATGCATATGGATTAGAGGCAATTATTATGTATGTTTCTTAACAAGTCTAGCTAGGTGTTTTTTTTCCCTCTCTTTCATAAAGTTTCCTCTTGTTGCAGAAACAAAGCAGGAAAAATAATTACACTGCAGAGTATTCTTCACTGATCCAATGATGAGTAGGATCAACAGCCCAATTCTGTGCACGATCAATCTTTTAGTTTAGGGCATCAGATAATCCCTTCGATCATCTACATAATTATAGGGAGATTGTTGCTGATCCATGAGTTGCAACATGCATGCCATAAATACGCACTTACTACTTATTTGCTTCGGCTTATAATCGGGTCTGTGGCTACCCCACCGTGAGAATCGAAATAATCCCAACAAACATCTCTCATGAATCGTTGGTTCTTTTCACCGCGCGAGACACATTCACCGTGAGAATGAACCTGGACGACTCACGTTTTCCATGCCACGGGCAGGAGGCCACGCAGTACCGATACCGCACCCCGCGGCCCGTCACGCTGTGTTCCCAAACATGCCCGTGCACGGGGCGGCAGGCCACAGTACCGTTACCGCACCATGCGGCCCGTCCCGCTATGGTCCCAAACACGCCCTTAATTAATAAATCGCTCGCCATCATCACAGATGAATCCTTCTCTTGCAGCAACTAGCAGAGAGATCTGCAACCCTGCAGATCGCTCATGGAGATACAGGACGGAATCTGAATGTTTTGCAAGAACAAGAGCTAGCTAGAACGAACTAGAATGGGCTCAAAATTAAAGCTGCAAGCGCATGATGAGATAATAAGAAGGTGAATCCTTCTTCTAGATCGCAAGCTCTCTGGCTAGCTCTCGATCAAGAGAAGACTGAAACACCACGAACATGTATTATTATTCATAACAGCTTGCGTTCTTTAGTTAAATCGATCGATCGAGCTTACATGCATGCATCATATACCTGCATGGTTAATCCTCCAAATTACTAGAGCCCCGATTAATACACAGTTTATTTCCAGGGCGCTGCAACCGAACCATGGAGGATTAACTAGCAAACGAACGATATCTATACAGATTAAGATGCAAGCACGCCGCCGTCGGCGATCGACCGGCGGGATAGGAGCCCTAGCTGCTCCTACTCCTCCTTCTCCTTGTCCTTATCCTCCTCGTCCTGCTGCTGCTCCAGTGGCGGTTCGTTCAGATCGAAGGGCATGACGACCTGCTGCGCCGGCCCGTCCTGGTGCTGCCTGGAGAGCCAGTAGCAGCCGAGCCTGCCACTGTGGCTGGCGCGGTGGCCGCCGAGCGCCTGGCGCGTCTCGAACTGGGCCCTGCAGCGCTCGCACGCGTAGCGCAGCTGCCTCCCGTCGGCAGTAACGGCAACTACAGGCGGCTCGGCCGGCGGCGCCATGCCGCGCCAGGCGCGTTCCGGGTGGCTGCGCTGGTGCCCGTGCACGGCCTTGGCGCAGTCGAAGCGGCGGTGACAGACAGGGCAGGGGTGAGGCCCGTCCCCGGACTCGTTCCTGCTGCGGTTGCAGACCGCCGCCTTCTTCTTGTGCTGCTGCCCCGCCGGGACGGCGTCCGCCTCGTGCGACGACGTAGGGCGCCACGGACGGTTCGGGTCCTCGCCTCCGCCGCCGGGGGGTGCGCCCACGCCACCAGCCAGGTACTGCCCGTACGCCATGCCGAAGAAGAACACCTGAGCTTGGTTCATAGCACTCCTGCCCTACAAGCTAAGCTCCGCCTGTGTCAGCCGTTGCTCGTGCAACGGGAGACACAGAGCGTGCAGTGACTACTGGGTACCCGGGGAAGATGCGCTGCTTGCTGTGTTGTGGAGGGCACTAGTGCTCTTGGCAGGTGGGCCCTATATATAGGCATCTCTGTGCCGTAGATCATACTTTTCGATCGACGCGTCCTTTCGTCCCACCTTCCTCTTTTGTTTGTTTATATGCTTTATCTCTTATTTTTTTCTATATCTTTCTCTTTACCATGTGTTTTGATAACTTTAGCTTCTATGACACATCATTAGTAAATTTATTTGCATTTATAGTTATCCTAAGTAATGGTTATATGATTTTTATATATACGATTGCTTGACAGGTCCTAAATGACTAGAGGGGGATGAATCACTTAATTAAAAAACTACAAATTCACTAGAGCAAAGTGTTAGACAATAAAATGGCAATAAAACGGTTTTGCTCTAGCTCTACAAAGTGCTATGTAAGCCACCTATCAATTCTAGTTGCTATGATGTCTATGTATATATCACACAATCAATTAAGCTATATTGCAACTACACAACTAGTGAGCTACAGAACAAGCAAGTTACAAATAAATACACCTAAAATACTCAACTAGCTAGCCCACTACTAATTAAGATAAGCAACTACATACTACACAAGATGATATATATGTATGAAATACAAGTGAAGTAGAGAGCAATACCGAACCGGCAAGTGTCCAATAAGAATACCAAGAGACAAATTGACACAAGATTTATTCCTGAGGTTCGATTGCTTACCGACAACCTACGTCCTCGTTGTAACGACACTCACTTGGTGGTTCACGCGCTAATAGGCATCACACGTCTCGCCCTACATAAGGGCGCCGTAAGAACAACCCACAAGTGAGGGTACACACAAGTCACGCACAATTTACTAGAGTTGCCTTTCGTGGCTCCGGCAGGGAATAGGCACAAAGAACCCCTCACAATCAATTGATCGGAGCCAAAAACAATCACCACCTTCCACTCAACGATCCTCCAAGCTCCGGGCCGGCTAGGTGACGACAATCACCAAGAGTAACAAGAAATCCACCAACACCCAACTAGTGCCAAAAGATGCTAGACCACTAAGCAATGCACTAGAGGCTCTCCAATCTCACTCCCAAGGGTTGAATCAAGGATGCAAGTGAGTGGAGTGTGCTCTTTTGTGCTCACGGACTTGAGATTAACGATGGGTCTGACCTCGATGGCAACCAAGAGGTGGTCGAAGCCCCTAGGAGCCTTCTTGAATTCGTCAACCATGTCGAGGCACTGGACCATGTATATGAAATTTCAAGCCAAAGGCATAAATGAACTTTGTTAACCTTAAATTCTATCAATATATAACAAGGAGGAAGACAATTTATTTAATTCTACAGAAATCAAATATATATGAATATATGAATCTATTCAACAGCATATATATACTAATATGCTACATATATATGGAACAAGATCTAGGCATAAGCTCAATAAGATCAATATGCAACGTCGAGGAAGTACATATTCTTGGTTTAGACTAATGGCTGTTTGATCTCGTTGCACTTTTTCACCTGGCCTTGCCTACCTAGGAAATGAAAAGGCATGCCTGTTTGGTTGGTAGTATAGCTTGCCTTGAAGTTTGTGCTAGCAAGAAAATTCGTTGCTGTGCCATAGGAGAGCCAATCCGGCTCGCTCCAACCAGAGCAAGCAAGGCAAGCTCTATTGGCAAGGTAAGGCAAACCTTGCCTGAGAACCTATGAGGCTTATGTTGAGTAGTAGTAATAAGAAGGCAAGGTAAGGCAAACCTTGCCTCAAAGCCAATCACGTGTATGTTGAGGAGTAGTAAGAAAAAGTTTCAAACTTGTAGATGTTACTTGTAGTCATGATCCATTTTCAAACGGCTCATGATAATGTCAATAATCTCAATACCAAGTATGTATATGTAGTAATCATTGATAGGATCTAGAACCTTTTTTTTACATGACGAAATGAACACTGCTATAAGACCAAGAAAGGAAAGGCAAGAAAACAATACATATGCATTATTCTGCTCATGGGTCTATAACCGATCTCTTTATTTATATAGTAGCTAATATCGGAAATAAAAAAACCCAGCTCTATATAAAAGATTGGACATTGGACAAACACATTTGATATATAGTAATGAAAGTTCTTCGTAACTAGGAAATAACACACAACAATAAATAACAATGAAAACCGCAAAAAACCACTTTATAATAATCAGCCGCCTCAATGATAACCGACAAAATGCCACTTTATAATCAGCTACAAGTGATAGCCGATAAAATGCCACTTTATAAGTCTGCTGTCAATGATAATTGAGAAAATACCACTGTATAACAAGCTGCCATTGACAGTCAAAAGCGCTTTATAATCAGCTGCCACACTGATAGCCGACAAAAAACCGCTTATAATCAGCTGCCATTGATAGCTGATAAAAAACCACTTTATAATCAGCTACCACCGATAGCCGACAAAATACCGCTTTATAATCAACTGCTAGTGATATTGCATCGGGAGCTAATTAAGGAATCCGATATAACCGTGCTTTTGTAGTCAGTTGACGATGATTTTGCGCAGGAAGCAATCATAAAATGTGTGCCATGGTGCACATTGACAATAGCCTTTGAGGTTCTCCTGCACTCTATTTTGGAGAGTTGGACAAGTTTTATGAAGGCTATATCAAGTTTTTTTTTTTTCTCATAACGGTTCCATGATGTGCATCAAGATTTGTGCAACTCCTACATATATAGCAATGATAAAATATTAAAGCACAAAACTGTATACTTTTATTTGTGATGGTGGATAGATAGTACAACTTGTTGGTTACAATTTTGAGATATGTGATTATTGGGGGAATATGTAATACAGTCTAGTATATTCCACCCTTTTTAACTTGTTGTAAGTCGTTTTTATCTTTTCTAGAATCTAGATACATAGACAACTTTTACTACGCATGAGATCAAGGAAGGCTTCTCACATGGCTCTACTTCTATGTCAGATTAAGCCAACTCAAGGAGCGGAAAAGAAATTTATATCTATATCTATATCTACCTATATATCTATCCTGAAGCTTAAGCTTGCGTGGACGTGTATAGTTGATGACTGCATGTCCCTTGCAGATCATTTAGCTTGCCCGATCGAATGAAACAAAAGGTTAGTTCCAAACCGGGAGAGAAATAAATATTTATTAAAGCCAAAAGAGCATTACTACGACTACTGGGATCCAAGCCTAGCTAATGGCGTCTTTCCTAGTCCTTGTTTGGGCACCGGCTTTCAGTGCGCATGTAGTAGCAAAGGTCAGTCAAATGCACATGTCAGCCCTCTATGCGTGTGCATGTAGCATGCATGCGTGTATATATATAGAGAACTTATTATTGTTTGTAAGAAGAGAAAAAACATTGGCAGCAGTCGCTTATTTTAGGGGTTAATTAACATTGGATCATATTATAAAGTTATTCCAGATAAAATTATTACACACACAAACATTTTCTATTAAGCATCGTCGCTTATATATCCTTATATCCTAGTGAGGAAATAAAAATAATATTTTCCTTAAATAAAAAAAATTAAAATAATATATATATACTTTGCGTGACCAGTGACCACAAACTATAGCAGCAAAAAAGTGTGACATCACATACGCATGCAGAAGCTTGTTAACGTTACTCTATCCCTAAGCTTTTTCTGAGGAAGACCGAAAACTCCTACATGCACACCCTGCTGCTTTCTCATGAAAGGGCTGCTGGGGAACCAGCGGTTTCGTATGAAAACAAGGGTTCAGTTGCACCGCTTTTGCCTGATAACACCACTTTATTATTTTTGGACGACTGTGCACACTACCATTAAAAGCTTGCTACGCCTGCGAAACATAAAATTAGTGAAGATGATATCCAGAACTTGGTTGGAAACTTGGAATCAATCTAATGATCATGCATATCCAAGGACCTTTTTGTTTTAGCTTTGGATTCATTCATCGTCGCCCAAATTAATAGCTACTAGGGTAAAACCATTCAATTTCTTCCAACAATACAATACATGCATGGAGATGATTAGCAAGGATGGGAGTGGAAAATTAACTAATTTCTCTTTCAATAATCCCTCCCAATACATGCATATGGATTAGAGGCAATTTCTCTTTCAATTATTATGTATGTTTCCTAATACATAGAGGCAATTATTAACTAATTTCTCTTTCAATAATCCCTCCCAACACAATTTTTTGTTCACTGATCCATATGATGAGTAGGATCAAGAACCCAATTCTGTGCATGATCAATATTTTGCAGGTATAGTTTAGGGCATCAGATAATCCCTTCGATCATCTACATAATTATAGGAAGATTTGATTTTTTGATCCATGAGTTGCAACATGCATGCCATAAGTACACACCGGCCGGCCTGCTTACTACGTGTTTGTTTCGGCTTATAATCGGATCTACGGTTGTCCCACCGCCGCGAGAATCAAAATAATTCCACCAAACACCTCTCATGAATCGGGCGTTGATTCTTTTCAGCGTGCGAGACACACTCACCGCGAGAATGAACCTAGACGACTCACGTTTTCCATGCCGCGGGCAGGAGGCCACGCGGTTCCGATACCGCACCACGCGACCCGTCCCGCTGCGGTCCCAAACACGCTCGTAATAAATTAAATCCCATGCCATCATCACAGATAAATCCTTCTCTTGCAGCAGCTAGCAGAGAGATCTGCAGCCCTGCAGATCGCTCATGGAGATACAGGACGGAATCTGAATGTTTTGCAAGAACAAGATCTAGCTAGAACGAACTAGAATGGGCTCAAAATTAAAGCTGTATGCGCATGATGAGATAATAAGAGGGTGAATCCTCGATCAGCTCGAGGAATCTACACCATCCTTCTTCTAGCTCGCAAGCTCTCTAGCTAGTTCTCGATCAAGAGAAGATCGAAACAGCACAAACATGTATTA